ACACACACACACCCGCACACACACACACACGCACGAACTCGCACACGCACGCACACACACACACACACGCACACATTCACACTCACACACACGCACACACCAACACACGCACGCACACGCACGCACAGACGCACGCACACGCACACGCACGCACACACGCACACACACACACACACGCGCACACACAAACACACACACACACCCGCACACACACACACACGCACGAACTCGCACACGCACGCACACACACACACACACACACACGCACACATTCACACTCACACACACGCACACACACACACGCACACGCACGCACACACGCACACACACACACGAACATGCACACGCACACACGCACACATGCAACTCGGCTGGATTCACGTGTGGAACAATTGGCAGTTCACAAGCCGTGTACCCATACGGAGGCCAGGCCTACACGGCGATCAAAGGACGAGAGCCGAGACACCTGGCCACGCGTGCAGGACCCACCCCTCGTCCATGCCGGCCACGCCCTGTGTGTACAGCTTCCCGGCAGTGTGCGGGGCGCGTGCAGAGGCGAAGCCCCTGGACATGCAAGGCCCTTGGACGTTCAGAATTGACTACTGACGGGCCGACGCATCAAGGGCGTTCCCCCCGCGATCCGCACCCTCATCTCTCCCATCTTCTACTGAGGAGGAGGAGCAGCAGGAGCAGGAGCAGGAGCAGGAGCAGGATGAGGATGAAGGACGAGGAGCGATCCCCCAGTGCCTCCCTGAAACAAAATTGGAGATATCACTCGTCACGACGGCCAGCTGTGGTGGTGTAGGCGAACTGCGAAGACGCGGAAAAGGGGCATCCAAAGCCGCGCAAAGTTTGAGAGACGAGAGTCACGTCATCCGACTCATCCTCCGTCTCCTCCCCTTCCTCGGGCCCCTTCTCCATTTCCTCTAAGAGGACCGGAAAAATGCGTAAGCATTAGCTTTTGAAGCTCCGCGCGGACTTCCTGGACCAGCGCTGGATCCCCTCCATGGCGCGCGGAACGCGATGAAGGCGGCGCGGCGCCAACCGAGGGGCCCCCCGCAGATCCAAGAAAGCCGCGCGGAGCGCCGCAAACTTGTGTTTATGCAAATTCGTCTTGTTCGACTCTCCCCTCCTCCTCCTCATCTTCCTCCTCCTCCTCCTCCTCCCCCTCCTCGTCCTGCTCCTCCTCCTGCTCCTCCTGGTGGGGATACTTTTTGGTCAGCGGCTCCGAGGCCGCGGACACGGAGCGGTAGGCGTTGTCTGGGCCACAGGCGAGGCTCCTGGTGGGGATACTTTTTTTTGATTTGCGGCCCGCAAGGAAAAGTCCAGAGGGCGGTGTGAGGCAATGGGGCGCAGTGCCAGATGATCACCATGCGAAAACCACTGGGCGGATGCCACCTGGTGGGGATACGCGAAGCGCTTAGAATTCGTCTTGCTCGACTCTCCCCCCTCCTGCTCCGTCCTCCTGCTCCCTCCCCTCCTCCTCCTGGCCCTTTCCCCCTGGAGACGAGCGCAGCCTTGGGGTCACGGGTGCCCCCCCCGCGAAGGGGGGGCGCCCTGTGCTCCGCCGCTCGGTGAGAGGCGACGGCAGCATCGCGACAAGAACGGACCGACAGAAACCGGACACCTTCTGAGCATGGGCGGGTTTGGAGGGTGCCCTGAGCGCCGCGGCCGTCTCCGAGCGCTCTGGAAGGCTCGGAGAGCGTGTCGAAACGCTCTGAAACGGATGCACCCTGGTCGTAGGCCCGTCCGACTCAATGGATGGTCCATGGACGAGGCCAGGCGGTGAGGCCTGACGGCCAGCGTCCTGCGCCGATGTTGAGGTGTCTCTCCTGTCCCATTCTGACTAAGAGCAGATTACATAATACACGTCATTTCTGTATTTTATGGATGTTCGTCTTCCACTTCCCTTCCCAGATTTCCAAACATTTCCGCGACAAAGCAAATTGTATGTACCTGTGGGAGGCTGGGTCTCGACTTTCAAGTTGCTCCGAACTCCAACCGACCACCCTCCGCAACGGCCGCACCCACAGATGCCTTGAAGGTCCTTGCGCGAGGGAGGCGGGAGCGCTGCGCTTCAATTCTGGCTTCTCCCCCGTCTCCCCCGCCTCCCTCGTCCCTCGTCCTCCTACTCCCTCCTCCTCGTGTCTTTCCCCCTTCTCGCCCTCATCCCCGTCCTCAGGGCGACCCTCCTCCTCCCCCTCCTCCTCCTCCTCCTCCTCCTCCTCCTTCCCCTCCTCAGACCTCAGGCGTTCCGAGACGGGGGCCCGGCGCCGCAGGCAGAACGTGCAGCTTGGGAAAGCTGCCTTGCTCGTGCTCGCCATCTCCCTCGCCCTCGTCGTCGTGGTCGTCGTCGCCCTCGTCCTCCTCCTCCTCGTCCTCCTCGCTCGCCCTCGAGCTTCTGCTGCTCCTCGTGCTCGTCGTCCTCCGCGCCCCCCCTCCCCCTCCGACCCAGCCGCCGGGCCGTGCCGCCTCCGTGTGCCCGCTGAGCGAGGAGGTGCACCGCGTGACTGGCCGCACCTTGAAGAGTGCGAGGGGGTAGTACGTAACGCTGAGCACGCGCTCGGTGGATTGCTGTTTGGCGGGCAGCTTCCCGAACGTGGACGCCAGCGACGAGACCTCGGGCGAGCGCAGCGGCGGGCAACGACGACGAAGAGGAGACCGACGACGACTTCCCTCCGTCCCCCCATCGGTCCCTTTTCCCTCCTTCCTCGTGCTCCTTCCCGAATTCCCTCTCCTCATCCCCCTCCCTCTCCTCCGTCCTCTCTTGTTCCCTTTCCTCTCCCTCTCTCTCCTTCTCTCTCTCTCTCTTTCGTTATTTCTCTCTCTCTCTCTCTCTCTCTCTTTGTTTCGTTATGTCTCTCTCTCTTTACTTTTTTTTATTTTTTTTTTCTCTCTCTCTCTCTCTCTCTCTCTCTCTCTCTCTCTCTCTCTCTCTCTTACTCTATATATATATATACATAGAGAGAGAGAGAGAGAGAGAGAGAACCACGCGCGCGCTTCGCGCGCTGAGGTTCTAGTCGCAGCTATAGCACGTTTCACAGCTCTCGCTTTACCTCGTCTGATCGGCGACATTGCGAAGTCCGCTGCATGTGGGCGTTGCAGACTCTCCGTCCGCCCCTGCCCTCTCCACCTCCCCCCCTCGTCATCGTCCCCCTCCTCCTCCATTTCCTCCTCGGCCTCCTCCTCCCCGTGCTCCTGCTTGTTCCTGCTCCTGCTCCTGCTCTCCCTCATCATTCCCTCATCCTCCTCCTCGTTACTCCAATTTTACTCCTATTCGTCCTCCTCGTTTTCTTCCCGCGTTTCCTCCTCCTCCTCCACTTTTTTGTCCCATGTCCTGCGCCTCCTCCTCTCCTCCCTTTGCAACGACTCCTCCTCCTCCTCCTCCTCCTCTCCTCCTCCTCTCCTCCTCCTCCTCCCTCCTCCTCCCCCTCCTATTCCTCCTCGTCCTCCTCCCCCCTCCTCCTCCTCCTCCTCCTCCTCCTCCTCCTCCTCCTCCTCCTCCTCCTCCTCCTCCTCCTCCTCCTCCTCCTCCCCCTCCCGAGTGTTCCCAAGGGGGTCTCCGAGAACACACGGGCAGCTGTTGTCCACCGCCCTGGCAGGAATCGTGGCCCAAAGGGAGCTCCACCTACGGCCCCAGAGGGAAAGCTCGCATGGCGTCCTCACGCCAATTTCGGCACTCCCTTCACACGGATCGCGCCCCGCAAGGAGCTCCACCCACGGCTCCAACGGAATGGGTCGCACGCCGTCCTTCGGCATCCTTCGGCACAGCCCCTGACGCGGATCGTACCCCGCAACGATTTCCATCCATGGCACCCATGGGCAATTTCGCATGGCGTCCCCACGCCCGCTTCGGCGCCGTTGCACGCGGATCGTGCACAAAGAGCTCCCCCTACGGACTCAACGGGCGCGCTCGCGCGGCGGCCATCCCCTTCACGCGGATCGCGCCCCGAGCTCAGCGTGCCTACGCGAGCTAGCTCCGCAGCGACTCTCTCTCCGGTCTACCCCGCGCCGCGCAGTATTTGACAAGAGAGAAAGAGAAAAAGAGAGGAGAGAGAGAGAGAGAGAGAGACACACACAAAACGGAAAAAAGAGAGAAAGAGAAAGCCGCGCCCTGCGCTATACGCAGGTGCATAAGGGCGGGCCCTTCGCCAGGCCAAGTGATATCTCTTATCTCGTACATGCACACACGCCGTAAACGCTTGCGACCCGATCGTGGAAAAAAGGATGACCAACAAGTACGATGCGAATAGGGATGCAGTTTAAGTAGAAGCTAATTGTGCTATCCCGTTGCCATCGAGAGTGGTAGAATGTTCACATGACAACATAACCTTACGTCGGGCATGTCCCCCGACACGCGAATGTTTGATGACAATTGGTCAAACAATACCCAACATTGGTCAATCATAATCAAACAACGCCCCCAGACGATGTACTATGCTTAAACACACCTGCTGTATATGGGGCAGGCCCCACTCAAACATATGTCTTGTTTTGGTGCTTCTGACAGTTGCAACGAGATCAAACCACATTTCGTTGATTGCCCTGTTTGACTCCGGTTTCCCTTCGTCGAGCTTTGATACAGCCAAGTTCCCCGTGAATCATGAATGGGTTTGCATTGTCCATCCGTCACTCTCGAGCAAAGGCCGCTGCTGTTGCAAGCCAGATTGACGGGACTTCGTGCCAGTTTTTGTGGGGGCCAATGTGAATCGCAATTCTTGCGCCCACTTCATCCGCCCCGCTTTGCGGTGCGCCTCTTCCATGCGAAACAATGCTCAAGTAGAGAAAGGCGCACAAGTGCCCCCACGATTGCGGCCGCTGCATGTCGCGACGAATGACGCAAACTGCCAGAACTTGTTTATAATATGGATGCGACAACTTGAGCCCGAATCGCTGGAGCGCTACTCATGGGTGCCTAGAAGGAAGACTCCTGGGAGCCAGTTTGGACCGACTGGGGGTTCCCAGTGGGCGGAGGGGTCGAACTCTTGGCTCGTGCTCCCCGTCCCTTTTCCCTAGGCCCGTCGCCGCTCTCCCCACTTTCCCCAGGCCGCCCTCCTCGAGCGTGCCAGCCACGGCAACATGGAGCAACGTTGTAGTTGAGCCGGATGGAGGTCCAATCTTTTTTGACCCCTTCCCCGCCGGGGCGGGGGGGGTCCCCGGGGGGGTCGCCACCCAGATGCGCCCCCCCCCCCCCCCCCCCGGGCGATTCGGGAGCCCAGGGGAGCCCCTAAGACGCGGCAGGGGTGCCCGTAGATGCCCCCAGAACGGTCCTCGAAGGCCCCGAACCGCCGAAGTATCGATCCAAGTCGCCAAGGTAGCCTCCAGACGGCTCAAAAAGGTCCCCAAAACGCCCCAAAAGGCTTCCAAGAGGAATTCCAAGAGTGGCCCAAGAGCAAAAATCCTAGATTACCCAAGAAGGTTTTTGAACAATGTCGGCATTTTCGCCTTGTCAGCTTCCCGACGCTCCAAGACAGGCCAAAAGGCCCCCCAAACCGCCCCAACATACAGGAACGACATTTAAGTTTAATTGGGCGCGCGCTATTTTTCAGCGAGCCGCATCACTTGGCGAAGCGGTTTCCTTGGCGGCGGTCCAGGTCCATTGCCCTGGACGGCAGCTCGCTGCACAGGCCGTCGACGTCACAAACGCTATTGACTTGCGCCGCGCAGGCCTTCAGCCGGGCGCGGTACGCCTCCAGGGTCTCCTCCCGGCAACGCTTCGGGAACACCGCTTCGGGAGCGTTTTCGTGAGCCTGTCCCGCATCCACGACACCGCGGTCTCGTGGAGCATGACATCCTGGAACTGGCCGGGCTGTTCGTCACACTTGCTGCGTCGGAACCATCGTGGAACCATCGTGGAACCACGCAGGAACCGTGTGAATTCATAGGGTTTCGTCACAGTTGCGACGTTGGAACCATCGTGGAACCATCGTGGAACCAAGCAGGAACATTGCGAATTCATAAAAAGGTTCGTCACATTTGCGACGTCGGAACCATCGTGAAACCATCGTGGAACCAAACAGGAAGCCTGTGAATTCATAATGGTTCATCACACTTGCGACGTCGGAACCATCGTGGAACCGTCGTGGAACCAAGCAACAACCTTATGGATTCGTAAGGTTTCGTGACATGTCAACCTCTCAGAACCATCGAAGAAACAAGCTGGAACCGCCGCGGTCGGGCGCCGGACCCCACAAAACGACACGGATCGGCGATCGCGGGTTCGCCACCCCTGATCATTAAAATGCTAGTTGAAAGGTGGTGCACGGCGCATCTACGCCCCTGCGCCCTAGAGCAGCTGGCCATAATCAAAATTATGAGAGGGCCGCTGGGCCCCAAGCCCCTCCCCCTGGCCCACGGCGGCTCCCTCCGACAACCCTCCCGCGCGAAGCGTTTTCGATTTACCTCCGCCTGCTCCCAGCGCCCGCCGGCCGCCTTCCGCCGCGAGGTCGGGCGCCCCCCCCCCCCGCGCCGTCGCATAGCTTGCCAAGCGGCACCGAGGCAGCCAGCCCCTGGACCGCTCTTGGAACGCGTTCCGGCCAGAATTCCGATGCGAATCCAGCTGCGGCGACAGGGCCCCCCCCAGGGCGAGCGGCGAACCAGCAATGTGACGCCGCATCGTGGCCTCGGCTGCCCGCGAGCCCGGCGAGTCGTCGTCGACGTCGTCGTCGTCGTCGTCGTCGTCGTCGTCGGCGCCATTCAGGGTCGTCGTCGCCATTCAGGGTCGGCGGCGCCGGCCGTAACGCCTTCGCAATCATGATTTGCGCTCCCCCTCTGGGGCCGCTCGCGGGCGGTGTCTAAACTGTTCTGAGGCCGTTTTGCATGTCTCTTGGGCCGTTTTGGGGGCCCGTTGTCCCGTTGAGGCGCTCTATTGGGGGCCCATTAGGCCGTATCGGGCCGATTCTCGGGGTTTCGGAGGTAGCCTTCGGGCGCTGGAAATCCGAAAAGTATAGATAAAGAGATAAAGAGATAAAGAGAGAGAGAGGGAGAGAGAGAGGGAGAGAGAGAGAGAGGTAAAGAGAGGTAGGAGGAAGAGAGAGAGAGAGAGAGAGAGCGAAAGTAGAACCACGTGCGCGCGCCCGCTACGCGAGAGCGCAATCAAATTCTCGTCGCAAGTGAGTCACGGGTGCCGTTGTAAGTCCCGCTGTGGTCACAACGACGATTTCCAGCGTTCTCGGGCCCATGCTATCGGCGCGAAAAAACGCGTAGTCAGAAAACCGGGGCGCCACGTTCCCACGTGTCTCACAATCTCGCTGCCAGTTCTGTTTGGTTTATCGAACTGCATTCTTTTCTCCCTTCTCACTTCCGCTCTGCCCCGTCGTGTCAATCATTTATTTCGTACATTTGCTCGGTCTCCCCATGCCCGATCACGCAAACATCCGCTGGCTCCTGATGTTGGGGTTGGCTCGGGGACTCGTTGCGCGCGCGCGTGGGGGCGCGCTGCTTCTTTTCCTTTTCCTTGGGTTCCAAGCTTCTCGTTTTCAGCGGTCGCCCAGCTGTCGGGTATATGCAGAGGGCGCGCGCAAATGTCCCAATCGTCAATCCAAACCTCATGCTGGCAATAATCGCGCCCGTGGGGTCAGAAGGTTCGGGCTCACGGGAGATGCTCAACGATTTGCCTGGCAAGTCCCATGTATGGGGCTCCCTGGAGCTCTGACGGGGCATCTGCCGGTACTTTCTTGGCGCTCTGGCGAAGCTTTTCAGGAGGCGAGGGAGGGGCACGAAACCGGAGAAATTGCATCGTGCAACCACACCCCGCTCGCTCTTGCGGGTCCGCCCTGCAAGACTGGGAGGAACAAAAATCCCGTGAAATAGTATGGTGTATGGGGTGCCCTGTTTTTTTTGGCGGGGGGGTCCTTGGCGCTCTGGCGGGGCTTCCTGCCCAGGAGGGGAAAGGGAGCACGAAACCTCAGGAACAGTATGGTCTAGCCACACCCCGTGCGCTCTGACGGGGCCACCTCGGGTGCGGTGGGAGACAAAACAGGGACTGCATATGGTATAGCAACACCCCTCTCGCTCTGCCGGGGCCGCCCTTGGAGGGTGGGAGGGGCAAAGCAACTTGTGAAATGAGAGGGTCTAGCGATGCCCCGCTCGCTCTGGCGGGGCCAGCCTGGCGCTCTGGCGGGGCCGTCCCAGAAGAGGAGGGAGCACGAAAGCTGAGGGGTGAGGGGAGGAAAAGCAAAGAGGAGGGAATGGAGGCAGGGGGAGGGGGCGGAAAGAAATGAGGTACGGAGGGGGGAGGCCCGGGCCATCTTCTGGGTTGTCTGGGAGCGCCTTGGGGCCTCCCGTTCCCGTTCTGTGGCCCAGTTTGGGCCTGTCCTGGGGCTCTCTTGGGCCGTTTGGGGTTCCTCCTGGGCAACTCTCAGGATAAATGTGGCCGTCTTGGGGCTCTTTTGGGCGCCTCTTCGGCGGTTTTGGGGCGGTCTTGGGGGCTTCGTCGGCCGTCTTGGAACGTCGGAAGGTCGAAAACGCGAGAAACCGAAAACGCATCCAACAAGTCAATGCGAATCCATGATACGGGCCTCTCTGGGCTCTCTCGGGACGTCTCTCGGAGCCCGCCGTGCGAAAGGGTGGGTGACCGGGCTCGCCGCCACCGCAGCGTCGAACACCGTGGCTGCAGCAGCGGCTCCAGGCGTCGCGGCACGCGCAGCGGCCGAGTGCGCAGGGCGGGACACGGCGTCCGCCCAGCGGTCGCCCTCAAGGCCGTCACCGCCGCCGTCCGCCGAGCCCCCGCCTACGCGTCCGAGGTCGGGCGCGGCGGGCACCGCCTCGGCAGCAGTGGCGAGCACAAGAGAGGCACGCCTTGCCCTCCAGCTCGGCGACGCCGAGCGCGACGGCGCCGCCGCCGTGGTCGCTGGCCGTCAGGCGGTGCACCTGTCGCGGGAGCGGGGCCTCCATCGCCACCGTCTCCTCCTCCGCCAGCGGCCACGGGGCGGGCCGATCGGAGCTCGGCTTCGAACATCGCCGCCGCGGCACGAGCAAGGCCCTCAGCGGAGCGCAGCAGCTGAGCGGCCGCCGCGCCCCCCGCCAGGCCAGCAACGCCGTGCACCGCCAGCGCGGCCCCATGGGCCTCAGCCAGCGCCGCGCGGCGATCCGTCGCAGCCGCCATCAGAGGCCCGCGGCGGGCTAAGCGGCTCTGCGGCGGCAAGCTCGACGCGGTCACGGCTTCATCCTCCTCCTCCTCTTCCTCCTCCCCCTCTTCCTCCCTCATCCTCCCCCTCCCCCTCCCCCCCTCCTCCTCCTCCTCCTCCTCCTCCTCCTCCTCCTCCTCCTCTTCATCGTTCTCCTCCTCCTCCTCCACCTCCTCCTCCTCCTCCTCCTCCTCCTCAACATCATCATCATCATCATCATCATCATCATCATCATCATCATCAGCAGTAGCAGCAGCAACAACAACAGCAGCGTCAACATCAACATCAGCATCACCGTCATCATTCGCATCGACATCATCATCATCATCATCATCATCATCATCATCATCATCATCACCATCACCATCATCATCAGCATCATCATCATCATCATCATCAGCATCATCATCATCATCATCATCATCCTCATCCTCATCCTCATCCTCATCCTCATCCTCATCCTCCTCATCCTCATCATCATCATCATCATTATCATCATCATCATAATGATCATCATCAGCATCAGCATCAGCATCAACATCATCAACATCAGCATCATCATCATCAACTCCTCCCTCTTGTCCTCCTCACTCCGTCCCACACATACACACACTCCCACTCCCCCTCCCCCATCCTCCCTCCCCATCCTCATGCTCCTCCCTTGTCCTCGCCATCCTCTTCCAAATTGCAGCTGAGACGGGGGCTATCTCGTTGTCCTCGAGGTGGAAACTGTATGGGTTCTCCTCCTGCCGGGCACGCCCCCCCCGGGCGTCGGCGTGGCCGCGCCAACCCGTTCTCTCGGAGCCGCTGAAAGACAAGTTCGAGGATGCAGGCTCGAAATCGGGGTCGAGATTCGAGGGTATATTTTGGAC